TGGGAGAGGCTAGAGCAGGTGGGTGTAGGAGTGGGGGCGTAGATCTTGAGATGACGCTTACGCCGCCCCCCCCCACCCGGAGGGGAGACAGGGGCTGGGGGATGAATGGATTGCAAACCGGAGGGAGGGGCTGAGGAGATGAGCTTTGGTGCCTTGATTCGCCCGCGTCAGTTTCTTCAACATCTGCAGTGCGTGGGGTTGAGCGATCCCACTGGGGGGTTGTAGGGGGTAGGGCTGCGAGGCTGGCTGACGTTTGCTTCCCGCCTGCTGGGTCGGCCGAGCAGTTCATGAATGACTCACCTCATTGTCAGGCTGATTCACTGCTCTCCTGGGGACTTGGAGGGGGGGGGGAGTGGAGGGGGGGTGGCGGCTGGCTGCAGCAGCCCCCTCTGTACGACTCAGACTGTCGCACACGCACGCACACGGGGCACGCACACGGGCGCACGCGCGCGCTCGCGGGGAGGGGGGGCTCCAGCGGGTCCACTTACCTGCTGAGGTCAGTACCCCATAGATGGGTTTCCGGGATAAGAGGGAGGGGCTTGCACACCACTTGGTTTGTGGAGAAAAAGTCTGAGGTTTCTGTCTAGTCTACTCATGGGTATTTACATTCAAATTAATTAAAGTTGAATACAGTGAAAACTTCAGTTCCTCAGTGTCACCAGCCACATTTCAAGTGCTCGGTAGCCTCCTGTCGCTAGTGGCTATCCACAGCACAGAGTGGATACAAGACACCCCCATCAGCACAGAACCGTCTATCAGTAGCGCTGGTCTACACAACCTTCACACACACGAAGCCACACAAACCAATCAACTTTCTCCCAGCCCAGACACTCAGCACCCCCGCCCTCTATGCAGCACACAAGTCATTTAATTCCATATACACGCTCACACAACACCCACCCACCAACGCGGCCACGCAAGACTCACAATGCGTGTACACATTTGCAGCACTCGCCACTGTCCATACTAAGGAAGATGTTAATTTAAACACACCAACACACGTCAGCACACCGATTCACATACAACTGCTGCGCATACAGTAAAAAATACAAGTCAGGGCAAAATGCATTTGCAAATGTGCTGAAATAGACACAAACTCAAACCATGTGGTTCTCATAACACATCTGAGCACATGTTTGCCAACTCAAGCAGGGGGGGAAGGGAGCCCACATTGTTGAGCCCCTGCCAACATGCCAGGCGTGGACTTAGCCATTTCAGTGCATTAATTCGGTTAATCTCACAGCAGCTTTGCGAGGAAGGTGTATTATCCTATTTTGACGGATGAGGAGCTGAGTTTCTGAGAAGTAAAATAACGTAATGCAAACTGTCACACAGCCAGTTAGCAACAGGGTCAGATACAAACCAAGATTTGTCTAACTTCATGGCCAATGCAGCATGCTGTCTCCAAACACACATGCACTGGCACTAGCGCACGTGCACGCGCACACACACGCACTCAAGGTGCATCCTCCTTTGTACCTAAAGTGAGCCTCCTCACCCAGCAACTGCAGGGGTTTGGGGAAGCAAGCATGGAGTTGCCCAGATTTGTTTACACTCCCTCTTGACAAACGGCATTAAGTCATTCAACAAACACTTGCTAAGTGTCTTCAGTGTTCGAGTCCTATTCCAAGTACCAGTTCACAAAGGAAACGCCACAGATATTTCCCTGAAGGAGTATGAAATCCAGCACAGAGGTGTGAGGGAACCTAAAGACAATACCAGGTATACAAGAGGCCCAAGCCCTAACGGAAGGAGGCGAAACATGCAGGGAACCCAAGAGAAGGGAAGCTGGGTCTCCTGGGCAGTAAGGAAGGCTTCTTGGAGGAGGCAGCCTGTAAGCCAGGTCATGAAGAAGGAGTGGGGTGGGGGAAGGATTGGTATTTGAGATTGGTTGAGAGATGAGCTAGGGCAGGGAGGCAGGTGCCAGGGCATTGCAGGCTCTGAGGATTTTACATGTCATCCCTCAGCGACTGAGAGGATTGAAATGTTTTTCTGTTGGAAAATAGTATCCCATTGGCATGTTAGAAAGAATGGACAGAGGGAGGAGAGCTTGGATTAGGGAGACTAAGCAGGAAGTTACCACCGCCTATTAACTCTATGAGCTTGGGCAAGACATTGACCTTTTCCTCCTCTGTAAAGCAGAAGTAATCTTAGCACCTATGTCAAGGCTTGTTACAATGATCAAGTGAGCCATTACATGGGAAGTTCCAGAACCTTGCCTGGCACACAGGCAGTGCTCAGGAAGTACTGGCTGTTATTATAATGGGTCAAATCAGAGAGCTGTTAAGACCCTCTCACTACACTCACTCCCCTTTGTACCTCACTTCATACCTGGGGAGCTGGTGTCTTCTGGTGTGGCCCTCTAGGCCAAGTATGAGCACCCACTTTGCCCTTTCTTGGAACCCACCCCTTCCTTTTGAGCCTGAGTCTCCATTAGCCTCAAGCCAGGTTCTTAGAGTGAATACTAACCTCTCTTCCAGGAGGAGGGAGAAAAGGATATAGGCCCCGTCACCATGGAGAACAAGTCTTTGCTTTTCCCTTAAGGTGACACCGCTGGGAAGGAGAAGACATTTGATTTGGGGGAAGGGAGACCCTTCAGTATGAGGGTCCTTCCCAACTCTAAAATCACAGACCCCCTCCTCACTGTGTCCTGCCAGCTCCTCTCTAAAATGTCGCGGGTCCACGTTTTCCCTTTGCTCCAACTCCTATCCAAGTTCTAACAAGAGGTGGGACAGTAGATGCCAAGTTCATCTTAGAAAAGTGATGGAAGAGGGGCGCCTGTGTGGCTTAGTCGGTTAAGCGTCCGACTTTCGCTTGGGTCATGATCTCGCGGTTCGTGGGTTCGAGCCCCGCGTCGGGCTCTGTGCTGACTGCCAGCTCAGAGCCTGGAACCTATTTCAGAGTCTGTATCTCCCTCTCTCTCTGACCCTCCCCTGCTCACGCTGTCTCTCTCTCTCTCTCTCTCTCTCTCTCTCCTAGAAATAAATTTAAAAAAAAAAAAAGAAAAGTGATGGAGGAGAAAACAGGACTTCCTATCAGAAGATTCACCACTAAGTGACTATGTGATCCCAATGGGGTCTCTTATCCCCTGGGCCTCAGTTTCCTAATCTGTAAAATAATACCGGCCCCTCACTCATTATGGGATCTTTGTGGAGACAAAATGAGCTCGTGATTAAAATTGGAAGCTGCAAATTCCAGTGTGGATAGGAGTTGCTATTAGTTCTCTTGGTCTTTTGAGCTCTGTGATCCCCCTCCAGCTGGAGCTGACAGAGCCCAGATGCCCAAGGAGCCCTGGCACTGGGTCTCCAGGATCAACCATAGCTGAGCAGGAACAGCTGCGCCCTCCCGGGAGGGCCAGTAAGGAAAGGAGGCCTGTAAGTGGGAGGGGTGGGGATTTGAACCCCGGGTCAGAAGAAGCACAGAGGCTGTGAAGCAATTCCTAACTTGGATGAGAGTTAAGAGGCCCAGCTCCCATCTCCCACCGCCATTTTGGCTCCCATTCTGACATGTGACAGGTAAATGGGTCCACATGAAGCTATGATGGCTGCCCAGAGGTGAGGCCAGTCCAGGCCACCCTGGGGGAAGATCCAAGGCTGGCTCAGATCAGATCACATTACGAACTTGAGTCAACTACCTTCCTCCTGTCTTTTGAATCCTCAAAACCATGTAGCTCTAGGGGCACCTTGGTGGCTCAGCTGGTTAAGCCTCAGACTCTTGATCTCAGCTCAGGTCTTGGTCTCAGGCTCATGAGTTCGGGCCCCATGTTGGACTTCAATCTGGATGTGAAGCTTACTTTAAAAATAAACAAACAGGGGCGCCTGGGTGGCTTAGTCGGTTAAGCGTCCGACTTTCGCTTAGGTCATGATCTCACAGGTCGTGGGTTCGAGCCCCGCGTCGGGCTCTGTGCTGACTGCCAGCTCAGAGCCTGGAGCCTATTTCAGAGTCTGTATCTCCCTCTCTCTCTGACCCTCCCCTGCTCATGTTTTCTCTCTCTCTCTCTCCTAGAAATAAATAAAACATAAAAAAATAAAAATAAAAATAAACAAACAAACAAATAAATGACTATGTGGCTCTAGTGTCACTCCAACTAGCCCTATAGTGACAAGCAAGAAGAAAAACAGAAAGAGGATTGAGGACTGGCTCGGTGATAAGACCTAACTAGCTTTGCCAGCTCACTGGGACCCTGTGCATCTCTCTGCACAACTATCCTGGACTATTTTTTGACCTTTGTCTCCCTGACTTGTGAACTTGAGGGCACAAGGACTCTTGTTCATTTCTCTATCCCCAGGTGTTAAGCATTGTGTCAGGTACATGGTAGTGGTTGTGTCATTCCTTTCATAATTCTATTGAGCATTGTGCTAAGTGCTGGAGCTACAAAGTTGAACAAGCCAAGGTCCCTGCCCTCATGAAACTCATATTGTTTGTTTCTTTGGTTGGTTGGTTGGTTGGTTTTGGTTTTGGTGCTGAAACCTGGGAGCTCATATTTTAGTGAGGAAGACATTCAATACATCCACAATAAAGACGTAAACCGTGGGCGGAGGGATGTTACCTGAGAGATGGGCGACAGGGAAAATCTGAGATCTAAGCTGAAATGTGAAGGATAAAAAGAGCAAGACCAAGAACATCTTTGCTTAATACCTACGTGTTGCAAGGATGGATGGACAGATGAATGGACAGACAGGTGCTTGCGTCAGACAGAAGGGACAGCGACGGATTCTGCTGTGAATGAGACTCACGCTCTTGTACCCAGTCCCTGGTGTGCTTAACTCTAGAGAGGAGGGTGTGGGGGCAGCACTGGGGACCCAATTTCCAACCTGCTCTCCCAGAACTCCTGTTGAAGCCTCCGACCTGACCGAGGGACCGCTAGGGGGCGACCGAGAGCCCACTCATTTCCCTTTAAGGCCGAGGCGGAAGACTGACGGAGGAAGGGCCTTTGTGTCGGCGGGAGAGAAATAGGCCAGCCCCTTTAAGAGGGCGGAGACTCGGGAGTCGCGGCCGCTTCGAAAGTGGTCTCCGGCTCCGGTCCTCGGCTTCCCGGCTATTGCGTCTCGCGCCCCCCTTCCCCCCACTCCCGCCAGGGTCGCCGAGTCGCCTCTCTCCGACCTCGCCTCAGAGGCCCTGCAGCCCGGACTCAGACTCTCCCGCCCAGAGCAAGTCCGAGGCCCCGGCGACCCTTCGAGTCTGGGCCTTCCCGGCCCCCGGCTGGAGCCCGCCTGCTGTCGCCATGGTAATGCCGCGCCCAGGGGCCGCAGAACTGCCTTCCGGCTTCCAGCCCCCTCTCTCGTGCTAGCTGCACGGCCGGGTTAGGGTTTGGGTCAGAGCTTGGTGGCCTCGGGAGACCTGGGTTCTAGTCGGTGCTTGCCTGGAGACCCTCGGGAAGGTTCTCTCCACAGACCTCCCTCTGGGCCTCAGTTTCCCTCCTGTTGCCTTCTGTCTCTTCTTGGAGCACTCCTGGTCATTCTCCCCGGTGTGCTCAAACGTCAGGGCTCCAGAGACCGACCCCGACCTCTAACCCGGACACTCTGGTCCTTGGACCCTTGGGGGTGGGGGGACTAACTAGCTAACCGGCTAGACTAACTAGCTAACTAGCTCTTGCTCCTCTGGCCTCTGGGGTTAGGCACAGCCCTCTGCTGAGCTGGCCATGGTAGCCCTGCTGCCTAGAAAGAAAGAACTGTGGGCTGGGGCATCCTGCCCTCCTGGAATGCTGGCTCTGGGGCATTGGATTAGATAGAAGGAAGCCGCCGGTTTGGCTTTCAGGAACAAGGCCATTAGCACTGCTGGGCACACTTGGATTTATGGTAGCCTCTTGTTTGACCTGGGCTCCCCAGGCCAAATCTTTGGGATGTTGCAAAATCCTTAGGCCCGTGTGCACAGTGCTGAGTCTAATGAATGACCCATGTTCCCTTTGGCAGCTTTCCTCTTACCTGCCCCCCCTTCCCCCCTCCAGGGCTAACGCAGATGGACCCGCGTGGACTATTTTACAAGAAGGGATCCTGAATCATCCAATCTTTAAGTAAACCCCATCTCTTCCCTCTTCATCCCTTATTCCTCCCTCAGCACTAGCAAAAAAATAAATAAAAATACAGAGTACACCTGATGGTCGTGTTAGAATTGGAAAGAAGCAGAGTGAGGACAGAATGTACTTGCAAGCAGAATTCCTGCTCCAACCTCCATTGCTTTGTTTTCCTTTCAGGCATGCAGTTTGCAGAAGCTGTTTACTGTGGAAGAGGAGTTTGAAGATGAGGTAAGGAAGTGTTGGTGATCGGAGCTAGCAGAGGAGGTCTTCAGTTGTAACCACCCAGACCTAGAACGTTTCAAAGCAGCCTGCCCCAGCCCTCCTTGGATTTGACTTGTTATAGCTTTTTTTTGTCTGTGAGAGACTAAGAAAAAATGAGACATGTAACTGGTTTAGAAACAAAAGGCCAGAGACATGAGGTGCCTAATTGGCATCCTGTTATGTGATAAGGAGCCTGGCCTAGAAGATGAAGGATTCGACCAGATCAGAAGCTGGCACATTAGATTCACCCCTGCTGAGGCCCTAACGCATACCAATTAAACCAGGACTTCTGGGGATGGGCCCAGGCAGGGCTGTTTCTATTCTGGGGTTATCGTCAGAGATCACTGAACTAGCTAGCGATCCCCAGGACTCTCTTCCCTCTCGGATCCAACGGAGGTAGTTTCATCTGGGAGGCCCAAAATTGCTACCTGAAATCCTTTTCAGAAAGAGGTAGGATTTAAGTGAGTAAAACCCAAATAGGTAAATTAACCTGCTGCAGAATACAGCACTAACATTCCAGGTAAGGGTCCTGGCCTCCTGATTCCAGGCTAACACATGTGGAAGCTACCAAGCTACATTTATAGAGCAGAGTTGCTTTATTTTCTCCGTGACAAGCTATTCAAACCTATTTTTGTGTCTCCCAGCGCTGTGCTTTAAAAATCATGTTTAGGAATGGGGCGCCTGGGTGCCTCAGTCAGTTAAGTGTCTGATTCCAGCTCAGGTCAATATCTTGCAGGTTTGTGAGTTCGAGCCCCGCATCAGGCGCTGTGCTGACAGCTCAGAGCCTGGAACCTGCTTCGGATCTGTGTCTCCTTCTCTCTCTGCCCCTCCCCCACTCATGCTCTGCCTCTCTCTCTCTCAAAAATAAACATTTAAAGAAATTTGTTTTTAATCGTGTTTAGAATTTTGTCCAGATGCCCAGTTTGTACTCAGTATGGAGATGAATGCTGCACCGGGGCCCCACACTCCCTTCTTTTTTTAATTTATTTTTATTTTTTAAATAGTTTTTTAAAAAAATATTTTAATGTTTATTTAGTTTTGAGAGAGAGAGAGAGAGAGAGAGAGAAAGAGTGTAAGCAGGGAGAGAAGAGAGAGAGGGAGACAGAATCCAAAGCAGCTCCAGGCTCCCAGCTGTCAGCATGGATCCCAACACGGGGCTCGAACCCATGAAACGTGAGATCATGACCTGAGCTGAAGTCAGCCACTTAACCAACTGAGCCAGCCAGGCGCCCCTCCACACTTACCTACTTTCTAGGCTTTTGGAACCTGAGGTTTGAAAGGGAAAGCAGACCTTCCTCAGACCTCTTAAAAAATCAGTCTCTGGCTTGTCTCATTCACGGAGGCCCTAAGGCATAGTGATGGGGGCACATATGGGTTCTAGTCCTGATTCTGTGGAGTTACATAACTTCTCTGAGTCTCTGTTTCTGCCTCCATAAAACAGGACTAATAATAATACCTGTTAGGGCCACTGTGAAAATTCATTGCGAGAATTCTGGTAAAATTTTTACATGGTCCCTGGCACCCAGTGTGGTTTCAGATTGTTCAGACGTTTTTGTTATGACTTGGGGCTTGAATTTGTTGTTGTTGTTTTTTAATTCAAAATTGCCAGCTTTGTCGAGGAGATGTGTCCTTGTCTTTGTCTTTCAGCTTTGCAGATGTGTAATTATAAGCAGAAAACGTGGCCAAGTGCCTCGCGTGGGTCTCACCAGGTGACGGTAGGCCGGCTGGGCCGGCAACAGGATTAAGAATGAAAGTCTCTGGGAGCGCCTGGGTGGCTCAGTCGGTTGAGCATCTGACTTTAGCTCAGGTCATGATCTCATGGTTCGTGGGTTCGAGCCCCGCATCGGGCTCTGTGCTGACAGCTAGCTCAGACCCTGGAGCCTGCTTCAGATTCTGTGTCTCTTTCTCTCTCTACCCCTCCTCTGTTCATGCTCTGTCTCTCAAAAATAAATAAATGTAAAAAAAAAAAAAAAAAAAAAGAATGAAGGNAATAAATAAATGTAAAAAAAAAAAAAAAAAAAAAGAATGAAGGTCTCTGGGGCGCCTGGCCAGCTCCGTCAGTAGAGCACATGACTCTTGATCTTGGGGTCGTGAGTTCAAGTCCCACATTGGGCATAGAGATTACTTAAAAAAAAGAGTGGGGCACCTGGGTGGCTCAGTTGGTTAAGCATCCAACTTTGGCTCAGGTCAAGATCTCATGGTTCGTGGGTTCGACCCCCACGTCGGACTCTGTGCTGACAGCTAGCTTAGAGCCTGGAGCCTGTTTCAGATTCTGTCTCCCTCTCTCTCTGACCCTCCCCTGTTTACGCTCTCTCTCTCTCTCAGAAATAAATAAAACCTTAAAAAGAAAAAAAAAAAAGAGTGAAGTACTCAGACAGTTCAAGTTTCTGTTCCATGACCAGTCCCTTTCCTCCTTCCCAAGGCAGATGACGTCATGTCTAAGAGTCAGCTCTTTAGGAGAAAAGGGATCTATCAGCCTCCAGGATGGTCAGGAGTTTATTGCCACCGTGATTCTAATATTGTTATTATTGCTAAATCCCATGGACTAGGCTACGCTCCAGGACGCAAAGCCAGAAGAAGCCTTCGTCTGGCCCAGACACACCGGGGCAGCAGCAGGGGTTGGGGGCGGAGGGGACCTTCCTGTCAGTTACATCAGCAGTTCTGACTCAAAAACACCCTCAGAACAGGGCTGTTGCTCTTGAAGGTGTCAATCTCACCTTGCTTCCCAACTGGAATCCATACTTAATTTAACTTGCCTGAAAAGCTATATTTAACTTCTGCCTATTTTGCTGGATCCAAGGTCTCTGGCTTACTGACGGCTGTGTGTGTGTGTGTGTGTGTGTGTGTGTGTGTGTGTATGTGTGTGCGTGCGTGGACAGGGGGAGGCATGCGTTGGGGACAGGCAGCATGACCAGCTGGGGAGACCCCTATTGCACAGGCTGGACACCTTTTTTTTTTTTTTTTTTTTTTTAAGATTTTTATTTTTAAGTAATCTCTATACCCAGTGTGGGGCTCAAACTTACAACGTGGAGAGGAAGAGTCCCAGGATCCACCGACTGAGCCTGCCAGGCGCCCCAGAATGTTCCTGGTAGAAGTCTGGAGGTGGTGTGGTGCCTGGCTGGCTTGGTCGGTGGAGCATGGGACTCTTTTTTGTTTTTTTTTTAATGTTTATTTATTTTTGGAGGAGAAAGAGACAGAGTGCGAGCAGTGGAGGGGCAGAGAGAGAAGGAGATATAGAATCTGAAGCAGGCTCCAGGCTGTCCGCACAGAGCCTGATGTGGGGCTTGAACTTACAAACTGTGAGATCATGACCTGAGCCGAAGTCAGATGCTTAACCGACTGAGCCACCCAGGTGCCCCTGTGGAGCATGGGACTCTTGATCTCCAGGTTGTAAGTTCGAGCCCCACGTTGGATACAGAAATCACTGAAAAATAAAATCTTTTAAAAAAAAAGTCTGGAGGTGGGCTCATGGGCAAAGTCAAAGATGGTGAGAGACTCCACCATTGCCTTTCATGCCTTGGTTTCTCACTTGAGACGTATCTGCACTTATATACACACCACATACCTGAAATAGTAAAAGCAAGAGTGTTTATTTGGGGCACCTGGGTGGCTCAGTCGGTTGAGCGTCCATCTCTTGTTTTCGGCTCAGGCTCACAGTTCAGGAGTTCAAGCCCCATGTTGGGCTTTGTGGTGACAGCACGGAGCCTACTTTGGATTCTCTGTCCCCCTATCTGCCCCTCCCCCACTCGTGTGTGCACATGCGCTCTGTCTCCCTCTCTCTCTCAAAATATAAATGTAAAAAAGAGAGAGAGAGATGTTTCTTAATTTCCAGATGCCAAAACCCACTATGTGTTTCTTTGTAGGATTTCTTGTCTGCTGTCGAGGATGCAGAGAACGAGTTTGCTGGCTCATGGCCCGTGAATGCCGGGTGCCTGAGGCCTGTCTCTTCCAGGCCACGGGACACTGTGCAGGCGCAGGCTTCTGGGCAGCCGCCGCTATGCCCTGCTGCTCATTCAGAGGCTCTGGGCCCGTCAGCCCTGGGACTCCGCCTTCCTACCTCCAGCACACTCGGGGCCATCAGGGGTCCACCTTCCACAGGAACAGCCCCCCTAAGGCCCATCTCGACTTCCAGCAGCTGGACCGGCCATCACAGACGAGTGACACTGACAGAAGCACTCAGGAAGCCAGCAAGCTCCCCGCCCTCAGCCTCCCGCTCCCTGCACCCCTTTGAGAGCCCACAGCAGGTGATTAGTGGCTTTGAGGGGACTGAACAAGATGACTTTGATAAGGTCCTGGCAAGCATGGAGCTGGAGGGGCCTGGCCTGGAGCTGGGACTTGGGACCAGCAGTGAGGCCCCAGGAGTCCCGGCCACCTGGCAGCAGGAGGACTCGGCCTTGGCTAAAAAGGCCTGCGTAGCTGATCTGAGCAGGTCTTGCCATAAGGGGCCCACGCCTGCCTCCCACGTACTAAGGACCAGCTCAGCCCATGACGAGCCCCAAGCACCCGGTGTCCGCCGTGGGGCCGCGCCGCCCCACCTGAGACCTGGTGCCGTGAGCGACCTTCCTTTCCCAGCCGCCTCCGTGCTTCCTGCCCAGCAGCCCCGCTCAGAAGCCTGCCCCAAGGGGCCTGCTCTTCGAGCACTGCCGCCTCTCCCAGCGGCCAGCACACCAGCTCAGAGCAGCCCCCAGAGTCGTTTCCCCAGTCAGTCGTTCCAGTGTCCAAACGCCTGCCTACGGGGCAAATCTCCCCCTCCTGGATCACGAACGCCCAACCCTATCTGCCCTGCTCCCTCAAGGACTAACTTAACGTCATTTCCCCGGAGCCCCTTACAACCCCGAGCTCCAGTGTCTTCCGTCAAGTGTCCCGCCGGCCCCCCAAAGAGCCCCCGTTCCCCACTGGTTCCCCGAGCAGCGCTGCAGACGCCCATCGTCACCAACCACCTGGTGCAGCTGGTCACTGCCGCCAGCCGGACACCCCAACAACGTGCCTGCGCCAAAACCCGCCGCTTCCCCGGGCCCGCAGGGGTCCTGCCCCACCAGGTGAGTGACGGCTCCTCTTTGGGAGAAGCCAGAGCTGTCCAGGACATTGCGCGGACGACGGGGAGAAGGAGAGTGCCCAGTGTCGTCTGGTCCCAGACTATCTTCACTCCTGGGGGGAGGATGGGAAGGAAGGAGAGAGAGGGCTTTCCTTTTCTTTTCTTTTCTTTTCTTTTCTTTTCTTTTCTTTTCTTTTCTTTTCTTTTCTTTTCTTTCCTTCCCTTCCCTTCCCTTCCCTTCCCTTCCCTTCCCTTTCCTTTTTTAATGTTTTTTTTCGAGAGAGAGACAGACAGAGTGAGAACGGGAGGGGCAGAGAGAGAGGGAGACGCAGAATCTGAAGCAGGATCCTGGCTCTGAGCTGTCCGCCCAGAGCCCGATGCTGGGCTCAAACCCACAAACCATGACATCATAACCTGATCTGACGCTGGAGGCTTAAATGATGGAGCCACCTGGGTGCCCCAGAGAGAGGGCTTTCAGAGTGGTAGAAGAAGTCAAAAAAAAGTGGGAAGAAAGAATCGAGTGCTTAAAAAACCACAGGCGAGAGAGGTCCTTTGGCTCTGAGACCTCGACAACTTTTATGCTTCCGTTGAGCACCCACTGCTTGCTAGCGCTAAGGCGGGCAGTTCATTCCCTTCTATTTCCCAAGGATTTGTATGTGTTGGGCAATTTGCTTGGAACTGAGAGTGCAGAGGTTAAAATAGAAGTTCAGCCCAGTGGAAGAAGCAGAGGCGAAGAAGCAATTAGACATAAAATGCATAGAGTGAGTAGAGGTCATTCCTCGGGTGCAGGGGAGACACTGGGCTCCTTACTGAGGGGCTCTGGCGGGATGGCTAGGAGGTTAACAGGTGTGTGTAGGAAGGCTGTGCTCTGGGACACATTTCAGCAGTGGGAAGACATGGAATAGCATGTGCAAAGGCACAGCAGCATAAGAGCAAGATGCTATCAGAGGAGCGCAGCTCGAGTGTAGGGTTGGCGTGGGGAAGCGGGCTGTGCCAGGAGTTTGGATTTCGGTGGTGGCGGAGGGATAGTACCCATCAGACCATCTTGGATCAGATCCCAGATAATGGGACTCTACGGGTCTGGTCCGGTTGTGATTGGTGTACTCCTTTTCTCACATTCTGAGGGTGGTTCAAGTCATTTCTGTCTGTCACTTGCCCTTCGCTAGCACTTTAAGGGAGATCCAAGAAGGCCAGCCATCTACATTCCTCCCAGACCAAACCTCTGTAGGGAATTGTTCAGTCCCCGAGAAGGGACGTGGGGAAAACTGCCCCTTTGGCTATCCCAGGCCTCTCTATCCGGGTCATTGCCTCCTTCAGGAAGCCCTGGCTTTTGCTCCTGGGCCAGCTCCAGCTTCCTCACATTCCCAAAACAGTCCCCAAAGCATCTTTTTTTTGAGCTGCCCATGAGGCTCCTGAGACTTCGTTAGGAGAGACGTAATATGTGTTAATTGTCCCTGATAGTTTCCTGAACTCATTATGTAACCCAGACAAGATGCGGCACTTGTAAATAACAGCTGCTGAGCTCACTCTCGCCTTTTCCACCCCTCTCCCCTCGCAGCACGGCGGGAGGAATCTGGAGGAGATCATGGTTTCCACACCGCAGACTCCGACTCACGGCGCCCTGGCCAAATTCCGGGCCGAGGTAACTCATTCCCTGCGAGCATTCGCTTCCTGGGCCATCACTGAAGAGTGAGGGACATCCCCGCACATTTCAGGAGTTGAGAAGCAGAGTCTGTGCTCCTAGCCCTGTTCCCCAGGGTCACACGCCCAAGGGCATGTGGACAAGGCACTTTGGGGAGGTGGCAATTGTCCTGGCGCGAAGGGAAGCCTGTCCTGATGCTGAGGGATGCCAGGGGTCCCGTCTTCTTCTCTAAGAAAGAAAGGCCCAGCTGACTCCACCTTCCCTCGGGAGGGGAGTGTAATAATTATTAGGAAATTGTATCTCAGGAACCCCTCCTCTCAGGTCTCGGAATTGAGCGGGGAAGGATCTGCCTTCATCTCTCCTCCAGTGGATTCCTTTTTGGTGGATGAGACCCATCCTTCCTCCTCACTGGGATTCTCGTTGACCGACTCTGCCTTCACACCCGCTTTTGCTTTTAATTCTAGCTATTTTTCTCTTTGCTGCAGTTCCACAGATCCAGCAGTCAGCTTCAGGTCCAAAGCAGCAAATACTCCTCTGGGTTCAAAGCATATTTTTCTCTTTTTAATGTTTCATTTTCAGAGAGGGATACAGAGTGAGCGGGGGAGGGGCAGAGAGAGAGGGAGACACAGAAGACGAAGCAGGCTTCAGGCTCCGAGCTGTCAGTACAGAGCCCAACAGGGGGCTCGAACCCATGAACCACGAGATCATGACCTGAGCTGAAGTCAGACGCTTAACTGACTGAGACACCAAGGCATTTTTTAATATAAGCATTTTTTAGTATAAGATGGTTAATAGTTAAGCCAGAGGCATCCCAAATAAAATATGACTGGTTTCAAAATGACTAAGGCACCCCGGAACCCTATCAGTGTTACGTGGGGGTCCCTGGCCCTCAGACTTTCCGAGTCTGTTACATAGGAGATAAGCATGGGCAGATAGGCTTTTGCTTCAGTGCGACTAAAGTCAGGACCTGATTTAAAATTAAAAGAAATTTTTTTTGAGAGAGAGAGGGTGCAAGTGAGTGAGGGAGAGAGAGAGGATCCCATGAGGGGCAGAGAGAGAGAAAGAGGGCAGAGAGAGAGAAAGAGGGAAGAGAAAGAGAGAGAGAGAGAGAGGCTCACCTGAAGTGGAGCTCATGGTTCACCCAAGGGGGGACTCAGACTCACAAACTGTGAGATCCTGACCTGAGCCGAAGTCAGACGCTTAACGCCTGAGCCACCCAGGTGCCCTAAAATGAAATGAAATAAATTCAACCAGGAGCACCTCTGCTGTCGCTGATAAGTGAAGGATGGGCTATGCGACAAGATTTCAGGTACCATTTTGTGACCAAGGGGGTAAGAAAGGAGAGACTGTGGCCGCCGTGTTGCAGGGAGCATGCCCTTCCCTCCCACCCCTCCGTCCTGTCTCAGTCAAGGTCTGTAGCAGGGTGGATCCATTAACACAGCCCCCCCCACCCCCACCCCCCTCTGCTCTGTGGTGCCAGATGGTTACTAGTTCCCAGGCGTCGGCGGAGGAGGATTTTGGGCGAGGGCCCTGGCTGGCCATGAAAGCTGCCCTGGGCCTGGATGAGAGAGACCCCACCTGCTTCCTCTGCACCTATAGCATCGTCATGGTGCTGCGGAAGGTAAGGAAGGGTCCTGGGTGCTGCGACGTGCGAGGAGGACCATTTTGATCCTTTTTCCCAACCTGCTGTCCTATCCACCTCAAGAAAGGGGCTGCCTGTTCGCCCCCTCTTACCCCAGGCCTGGCCCTGAGCAGCAGCATCGAGTCCCTTTGTATCTTCCACTCACCTAGCATCCCACTACCGTCCACACTATCAGGCACAGGTGGGAGGAGAAAGCGGGTTATGGGTTTGTCTCTGCATGTCCAGGCCCTGGATGAGGCGGGGTGAGCACACAGTTAGCCTTCCAGCCCCCTAGAGGTCAGGGGTCGTATGCAGACACATGCCCGCGGCCTGCTGTGACGTAGCTCTCTGTAAATACATACATGCTGGAGAAAGGAAGCAGGGGGACGAAAGGACCTGCCAGCTCCGGGTGTGCCGGAGAGAGTCAGGATGGGTGCTTCAGACTGCCTTTCTGCCCTCCACAAAAACAAGATCATCACCACGCCTGTACTCCGTCCCCCTCCCCACCCCCACCCCGTCCCCCGGTTGCCCTGGTGCACTTGGGAACCTTCCAGGTGGGATCTTGCTCAGCAAATGCCTCTCCTTGTAACCAGGCAGCCCTGAAGCAGCTTCCCAGGAACAAGGTGCCCAGCATGGCAGTGATGGTCAAGTCCCTGAGCCGGAGCACAATGGACGCCAGTGTGGTTTTCAGGGACCCCACGGGTGAGAAGTTAGGCTCTGGGGCTGTCTGATGAGTGGCCTTCATTGAGTTCAGGGGATGAGGAGGAGTCATCCTCTCTCCATGTGCAGATGGGAAAATTGAGGCAGCGAGCAGCCCACTTCCCCACCAGGGCCCAATCCAGTCACTGTGCTGTCCCTGACCCAGCCTGATGGGCCACACGGTATTTGCAGGAGAGATGCAGGGCACGCTGCACAGGTCGCTGCTCGAGACCCGTCAGAGTGAGCTGAAGCCTGGCTCGGTGCTGCTGCTGAAGCAGGTATGGGGGCTCCAGATGGGGGACCCTCCCCACCAGCCCTCCCGACCCTGGAGACAGCCCCCGAGTGGTCGGTCTGGCTCCCTTCCCTCCCGGTCCCAGGCAAGGGATGGCCAGGCTAGTGCTAGACCCTGCCTCCTATTCTGTGGGGGCGGATGGGGACGGGGGCTTGTGTTTTGCAGGGAGGGGAGCATGGTGCCCGCTTCTGCTGGGCTCCTACTCCAGGGCTGGGGCAGGGCCGGTGTGTGGGAGCCCGGTGCCGAGGCCGGGGAGGGACAGGCAGGCGGGGACCAGGTGGCACGGGACCACATCTGGTGCCCCACCGGGGCACTGACCTTCCCCTTCCTCAACTCCAGGTTGGAGTCTTTTCTCCTTCGCTCCGAAATCACTACCTCAACGTGACACCCAACAACCTGGTCCATATTTACAGCCCAGATTCTGGGGATGGGAACTTCCTGATGCCATCTCAGCCCTTCCCCAAGGTATGAGGAGCAGGATGGAACAGGGCCTGGGAGATGCGCATTCTGCCTGTATATTCTGGTACCTTCCCCTCCTTCACTCTCGGGGGCAGAGGTGGGAGGGGGGCAGTTGCCCTGAGGTGAGGAGATGCCTCTGGGGACAGGGTCGTCTCCTCCTGTTCCGGGCCCAGCCACCTGCCAGACGGCAGAGTAACAGGACCTGGAGCAGCCGGCTTCCTGGTGATCGTGATCTGATGACAGGCTTGGGCCCTGGAGAGCGTGGGAGTCACTTGAGAACTAACCAAGCTGTGGGTCCCCCAGAGGGTGTGGGGTCAGTAAGTGACTGAGGGTCAGATCTGCTACAGGTGGCAGAGAAGAGCGAGCTACATCTGCACTGTCGGGTGAGCCGGCACTCGCTCTGCGGCTTCCCTCCTGGCCTCCACCTACGCTAGGTGAGGCGGCACCCACACAGAACCCTCTTGGGAACTAAAGGAGAGCGGGGCTCCAGGCAGCTCCACTCCCGGCTAAGAGTGCCAAGCCTGCCCTTGACTTGGCCCACACTGTCCCCTCGGTGGCCTCTTCCACTCTTCCTGGGATCCTGGGTTGTTATCATGGCCTGGCCTGGAGGTCAGGTAACCTGGGTCATGTCCCCACTCTGCTGGTAATTTGTAACGTGACCTTGGGCAAGTCCTGGCCCTGCCCCCGCTCTTGCTTCATCTATAAAGTGAACGTGTTCAACTGATGACTTCCACTCATGGCACGTTTCGCTCTAATGGCCTGCTTCCATTTCCCTTGTCTTTCCCCTTAACCTTCCATGTTTTCTCAAAATCACCCTCCTTCCAAAAAAACCATCTTTCCTTTTCTTTTCAATGTCAAGATATCGGGGCGCCTGGGTGGCTCCATCGGTTAAGCATCCGACTTCGACTCAGGTCATGAACTCACGGTTCGTGGGTTTGAGCCCCGCGTTGGGATCTCTGCTGACTGACGGCTAGCTCAGAGCCTGGAGCCTGTCTTCAGATTCTGTGTCTCCCTCTCTCTCTGACCCCTTCCTGTTCACGCTGTCTCTCTCTCAAAAATAAATAAAACATTAAGAATTTTTTTTTTAAATATCAAGATATCCATACTCATTGACAAAAACTGAAATGGTACAGAGTCAAGCAAAGCTTGAAACTTACTCTTCTCCATCCCCATTCCCTAGGGCTGACTGTAGTTAACAGTTTAATTACTAATTTCCATTACCTGCTCATATATTAGCTAGTGTGGGGATTATTAACAGCTTTTTAATCCCAGGCCAACTCCTCAGCAAATTTTTGAATGGCCACGTTGCTCTCTGCTCTAGCTACATATAGATTTCCTAACACACCAGCAACCAACAGAATTAGTAAAGAAGAGAGCCCGAAAAAGTTTTTTGTTTTTTTTAAATTATCTGCTGTTTGGGGCATTGGGTATTTCATCTCCCTCCCCTGGGTGACTGGCCCTTGCCGCCCTCCTCTTTTGTGTCTTTCCCAAACCCCCACCTGTTCCTTTGAGGTTGTCTGGGGGGACATGGAATTGTCCAGAGGATTATCAGGAGCCCAGGCGGCGGTAACCAGGCCCTCTGTCCCCAGGACCCCAGGAGCTTTGCTGGCGCCCTCCATCAAGAGACCAAGACCGCAAAGTCTGGAAGAGTCCTGAGAACAGCGCACGGGGCAGAAGCAGGGGCCTCCCCTGAGCAGGAACTCCCGGAAGCAGGTGAGGCAGTCAGCGCCCCGGGAGGCAAAAAAGCATTGCCTTTTATTTCCTCTTGCGTAGCACAGCCAGAAAGATCTGGCCTTGCCTGTCTCTCCTCCTCCTGTCAATCTTTGGGTCTTCTACAGTCTTAGAAATCAGATGTGGTGTCTTTTCAGGCAAGGCTGCAGTCCCCAAACTAACTAGCAGCGTGAGAGGGACCATGTGAAGCAAATACAGCGTGAGCCACAGGTCCCCCCCACCCCCAGCACCGTTTCCAGGCCATGTGCTGTTAGCCGCAAGGAGAGGAGCTGGCCCCATCCTTCTGCCACAGCTCAAGCCTCCTGTGGGCTGATGGCCAGACCCCAGAGGCAGATTTCCCCATCCTGACCAAGCTCAGAGGCCCTCCAGGCAGTGCTGAGGGGCCCCACATCCATGTGGGACCAGGATACAGACCTGTTGGGGTACGACCAGCCTGTTCCTCGGGGTGGGGGGTGAGGCACATCACCCAGGTGAAGCTAGCACGATCCAAGTCTGTGCCTCAGCTTTTTGATTCCATAAATTCAACCCTGCCTGGCCCCACGGTTCATGAGATTATGGCTAAGTGTCTCGCATCAGGGGCCCCTGGCTGGCTCAGTTGGAACAGTGTGCCACTCTTGATCTCAGGGTTGTGAATTCAAGCCCCGCGCTGGGTGTAGAGATTACTTAAATAATCCTGGGAGTGTCTCACATGAACCAATGTTGCCGTAGACCAGCGGATAAACCACAAAGCCCACTTACTTAGAGCCTATGAGAAAGTACCCCTTAGGCTGGAATCTTCTCTGGAATGTTGCATTCATTCCTTAGAAGTAAGCTTGCCCGTACAGTATTGTGGCTGGTGTCACGCCTGCACTGTAGGGACAGACGTGCTGAGCAGACAACCACCTGTGATGGTTGGACAGGGCGTGGAGACACCCGTGCTTGTTCTTACCCTGATTCCTAGTTCCCTAGGCCCGCGCTGACTGCTCGTTCCCCTTCATTTAATGCAGAGTTTTCCCGAATAGCCCTAATGTAGCTAGTGACAGCCACCTTTTTCTGTTACTAATTTCAGTCCCACTTCCCCTCGTACAGGGCTGGTCACCTCAATCAGATTTTGAATGTCCCCAGACAGGCTTCTACCCTTCCAGTGGCCACATGTGTCACATGTCTGTGCCAGGCCGGACTCACCTCCACAGGTGTAGTTTCCAGTCTGACTAACTCCGTCCACGGTGCGGGGGTTTTCCAGCTGGAAGTCGTCCGTGGCCCTGGCGTCAGAGGGACCTTGGGTCTGCTCACCACGGGCAGGCTGTTTGACCTCTTTGGACTCGGTTTTCTTCAGACAAAGTGGGGATTCTAACAGGAAGAACCATGAGCTGCCCTGTGAAGGGTACTGTGAGGACTGGAAGGAAGGGCTGAGTAGGGCGGGTACGGCCCTGCGCCCAGCACAGCACGCGCTCCGCAAGTGTTAGCTGCTATCGTGAGCAGTGCTGGTACCCGGCTCGAGGTCCAGGATCTCAGACGTAAGCACCCGCCTGAGAACTACAGTCGGGGACAGTTACTTCCTTCCAAGCGCCCCTGGATGCCCTGTGGGAAAGGGGGTGACGTTGTCTCACACTTTGGAGGCGAGAAACCAGATTAGGGAATGCCGTGACCCCGAACACCTGAGATGGCTTTCCCGGCCTTTCTCCCCCCACGTCCGAGGAGAGGGCTGCACTGGAGGAGCTCTGGAGCCTGTCTAGCGCTAGGCCTCTGGATGCAAAGAGAGGGACCACCGAGACCCAGGGGGAGAGTCTTCTTGGCATTTTGTCCGTGCCTCCTGTGTGTGCGCGTGTGGGACACAGAGGGAAGAGGGGAGGCGGGCGAGCCTCAGGCCGTTAGCGCGTCACGGCTGCCCAGCTGTGTGGCCAGGCCCAGTCCCCCCTGAAGGGCAGGAGCTTTGGATCTGAGTGACATGGAACCCTACTGTTGACACTAAGTCCACCTACCCTCTCCATGTCCCCCTGCAGATGACCTGGACGGACTCCTGAGTGAGCTCCCTGAGGACTTTTTCTGTGGGACCGGCAGTTGGGACTGCCCCGAGGCGAGGCACCCTCCGTGAGCACGCAGCCTCTCGGCACCCGAGCAGGATCCCCGGTTGTGTCGGATCGGGTCCCGGGGAGAGGGGGAGCCTGGCCCGACTGCAGGATAAACACGGCTCCGGGCTTTTAGGGCCGCCTTGACCTTGGGTGCCTTCCCTGGGAGCACCCTTGTCCCTCCGACTCCCCGCTGCTGTCACTCATGCCAGAACTCAGCCCAGGAATGACCTTTCTGCTGCTCTGTCCTCCAGGCCCTTGGGTGCAACCATTCCTTCTCCTGCTGGGGGAAAGTGTGGCCCTCCCCTGCCTCACCTTGACTTTAGAGGCCCCTGAGCTCCTTACTCCCTGTCCCTGGACACCTGAGGAGCCACAGGAGCCATACCCCAGCAGTGGCGGCCCGTCCCTCCGGGCGGGGAAGCAACACACTCGGACTTCCCTCTGCTTTGTCTCTTGAGGCTGTAGCTGCCCAGCTCACCTGTGCCCTGGGTTCCCAGGGGCGGGGGGCAGGGGTGCGGCTGTGGTGTCTTGTTCTGAAATAAAGCAGCTGCCTGCCCCGCTCGCCTCCCTCTGCTCTCCGCTCTCACTGCTGCTCGTCCTGCCTGCCTTGCCGGCAGTGCTTTGGCCGGGGCAGAGCCAAGCTGCTCGTTCTCCTCTCTCCCTGTCTCTTTTTCCATAAACTCTTCTCCTAGACACTTGTGGATTTACAGAATTATCACAAAGATGGTACAGGGAGTTCCTATGCATCCCACACCCAGTTTCCCCCTCAGCATCTTACGTTAGTACCAACACTTCTTAACAACTAAACAACCGGGAATCGTACATGACAAAGGTTGGCGGAACTTAATGCTTTCTTCCAATTTACAGTTTCCCTGCTGTCCCTTTTCTGTCAGGATCCCACGTTCCACTAAGGGGTCCTGTCTCTTCAGGCTCCTCTCGGTTCTGGCGGTTTCCTCAGACCTTCCCCATTTTTTTGTTTTTTTTGTTTTGTTTTGTTTTAATGACTTTGACAGCTTTGAAGAGCATGGGTCCAGCACATTCCAGGAGGCCCTCTACTGGAACTTTAAGATGAGACTAGGGCTATGTGTTTCGCGGAGGAAGGCCACAGAAGTAAGGTGTGTTCTCATCACACGTCAAGAGTTGATGTTGACCTTGATCACCTGGCTGAAGTAGTGTTTGCCAGGGTTCTCCACTGTACCTTTTTTTCTTCTCTCTTTTCATACTGACCTCTCTGGCAGAAAGTCACTGGGTGTGGCCCATGCTTATGGAATGAGGAGTTCTGTTCTACCCTCTCTAAGGACAGACGATTTCTGTAGATTGTTTGGAATTCTCCCTCATTTCTTATTCAGTCCTACAATTAAATCAGGGTGGACTCGTGGGTATTTGTTTTAAGTGTTGGGTCATAACCCAGCGCTACTTTATTCAGTTGTCCAACAGTCCTTTGTCACTGTAGCTTTGCTGTGCTCCCTTTCACACCAGAGTTGAACAAGGGGCACAAGGTGGAATTATACTAAGTTACCAGCCTTGTTTTCCTCTCTGAAATGAAGGAAAGAAAGGAGTTGTCCCCCAGCTCAGGGCTGAGGGTGTGTGGGTTAAAGACCCTAGTTTGACTCCCAGCCTGCCCTGCGTCGGCCTCAGCCTTCCAGACAGTGCCGTGAGCCCCAGGCCCCCGGTGGGTTTGGCGCTGTTCTGGGGGATGGCACTAATCTCCTTCCCAAAGAAAGGCCGATCTCCTGGATCCCTGTCTGAAGGCTGAAGTGAGAAAGTGCTTTAAGAACGCCTTGCTCAGCTGGCCTCTGGTTGCCGTGGGACCGTGTCCTAGAAGGCTTTTGTGTTCCAAGCCCAGGAGCAAGAAGGGGCTAATTCGCCAGCAGCCTTCCTACCTGAACAGATGATGTGCTTCCTTTTCTACCCGCTGCTAATTCCCCAGCCCTGCAGATGCAGCCCAGATCTGGGCCATGGCCCCCCATGCCGTGGGGTTTTCCTGCACCCAAACCGCGCCCTGCGCCTGGTCTGCAGGCCATTCCCCTCAGTCCCTCTACCTCTCACAGTCCTGACTGGCGTCCTCGACTCTCGTGTCCCTCATTACCCTTCAGGCTCAGTCCCCAGAGGGCAGGGCGGGGAGCCACTCACCTGGCACTGTTCCCGCCCCTGGGCTCCCCGTGGGTGTGGGTGCGGGTTGCAATAAAAGCCTCCATTCTCTGCCCTCAGGGAGCTGAGGCTAAAGATGGGAGACAACACAGTATCTCTGAGCACCTTCAGGCCTGTGTGACAGACAAGAAGGCGGCGGGCGGGGGGGAGGGGTAGCTGAGCTGAGGAGGTAACACGGACCTGCACCCTGCACGCCATGACTACCGTGTGCCTCTGAAGGAAGGCGCCACCCACCCCACCTTGGACCCTCTTGGCCCCACCTGGCCTTGCCAGTGCCCAAGCCTGGGAACCCAGCTGTGGGCGCTCAGGCAGGCCGTCGGCGGGGCAATTAAAACACCCAATGGGTTCCAACAGGGTTAATCACAGCCGCGTTTATAGAGGCGCCTTTCTCCGAGGATCTCCAGGGCCTCGCTGTGCATGACGTCATGCCTCCTCTGGGATCCCCCACCCTGGAATGCCACCAAGAGGCTGGGGCCAGAGTGGGTGAAAGGCAGGGTTAGGGCCGCGCCGGAAACAGCCCAGGCGGCGGCTGCCACCCACTTGGGGAGGCAGATGAGCGGTGCTCTGGCAGAGAACAAGGGCCCTCAGTCCCTGCGCTGCACGCAGGGGCCCACCTGCCTCCGGCCAAGCGCTGCTAAAGCCACATCATGACCTATTGTGCGCCAGGCCCTTGCTGGGTTACAGAGACCCAGCTGAATAAATCCCGGTCCCACTCTGGCGGGACACTTCTGTCCACGGTACCCTGGGATGGGTCCCTCACGGCACCCTCGTGAGTCCTCCTGGAGCACGGGGCGGGGGGGGGTGGCAGGGAAGGGTGAGGAGGCTCCGTGAGGATGCTACCACCCGAGGAGCCACGCTCTACTCGGCGAGGGCAGCTGTTGGAAGCCAGCAGACATTGTCAAGCTAGGAAGTGAACCATTTGGTTCCAAGTGGAGAATGTTCTCCACTGGGGCGGCAGAGCAGGGGGCTTGCGTGGGAGAAAGGAACGGCTGGAGGCTGGGCCCGCCGTGGTCAAGGGCCCTGAGCTGGTGACTGGCAGTGCAGAGCTGGGACTTGCCTGTGAGGGATCAGGGGGAGGGAGAAGTCAGAGGTAAGGGAGCAGGGGCTGCTGCGGAGCCAGGGAATGGGTAGGCGTTGCGGGCGAGGGAGGCCACTCCCGCCAGCACACTGGGAGAGGACGGGGATTGGGGACAGCCCCGATAGCCCCCACTGGGGCTGGCATCCCTTGTGCCCTCCCCTTCCCGGGCTTGGCCGTGGCCGCCGCCAGCGCTATTTCACGGCCTCATGCCTCCCCCTAGAGGCTCCCAGAAGCACAGCTGCTTCTCTCGTGGGTGCACGGGCTTGTGACTTGAAGGCTGCTGGCGTCCCAGTCCCGAGTTGCCGGGTCGGCCCCTTGGCCTTCCTCAGGCAGGCAGGTGAGCCCTTTTAGGTGCTGGGGTCACAAGATTCATTGCGGGCAGTTTCTAGAGCTCGTTCTGGCCTGCTAGGAGGCTGGGGACAGGCTGTCACCACTGCCCGCCCTCCTGTGGCCGCAGCAGCTGGAAACAAAGTGCACCATTGATGCGGTCTGGCCAACTGGGGTCCTAGTCCTGGCTCCGCTCCACACAAGCTGTGACTTTGGGACGAGTAATTTCCCCCTTGTTAAGCCTTAAGTTCCTCATCGTTAAGACCGACATAAAACCACCCACCTCAGAGGTGTTCGACTGTGATCATTAGCTTGATTGTATAACTCATGGTCAAAACCAAACTTCTTGCCTCCGTGAGCCAGGAAGTATGGCCCTTGGAGTGAAGATGGATGTAAAAGTTGGGGCGCCTGGATGGCTCAGTTAGTTAAACATCCAACCCTTAATTTCGGCTCAGGTCATGATTTCATAGTTCATGGGTTCGAGCCACACATCAGGCTCAGCGCTGACAGAGAGGCACCTACTTGGGATTCTCTCTCTCTCTGCTCCTCCCTGCTCACACACTCTCTCTTTCTCTCAAAATAAACAAATAAATATTAAAAATAAATAAACATTAAAAAAAGAAGATGAATGTAAAGGTAATGTAATTACCGTAAAGCCCTGTGCAGTTGTGTGCAGTTTTCGTGCTTACTGCAGGTGCCTGAAGAGCTGTCTGCATCCTCTCTCTACCTGCCCTTATCTCCTGGGCCGGGCTTTGCCCTCCAGTCAACATGTGAGAGGCCTGGTTGCTCCAGCTCTCCCCGCCACCCCCCATCTCCCAGATGGACTCTCACTCACCATGGACCTTGCTGACCCAAGGTGCTCTCTCCAGAGAAGTGGGTGACGCTGGCCGTGGGGTTCCATCCCAGATGGCCTCAGCTGAGGGCCTACTGCCCCACTGGGAGGGTGTCAGTAGGGCCAGGGGTTGACCCAACACCTTCTCTGCACCGGGATCATGACTCAGGGCACACGGTGTTTACTAGATCAGCACAGGACCTATTTATAGCCTCAGCTGCTCTTCTCACTGGATCACGAGTGAGGGGCCAGGGCGGCTGCTCAGAGCAAGGGAAGTAGTCAGGCCGAGGGACCCCGGCTCTGCCCAGACCCCCCGGGCCCCTCCGCATGGCAGAGGAGACCTTCCCCTTCACCTCCTCCACGCTGCGAGCTCTCCGCCTGCAGCGGGAGTGGCTGGAGTGGGAGGACCGGCGGCGGGCCGCGGCCCGGCAGTGCCGAAGCCAGAGGTGCCCCCCCAGCCCCCGGGTCCGCCTCGCCAGGCCGCGCCGCTGCTGCCGAGACCCGGCCGTGCACAATGCTCTGTTCTCCGGTGACCTGCTACAGGTCCAAGCCCTGTTCCAGGATGAAGACGCTGCCAACATGATCGTGGAGACTGTGAGCAACCAGCTGGCCTGGTCGGCTGAACAGGGTAGGGAGCACCCAGTGGGGCAGAAGGGGAGGGAGGGGCGGGGGCGGGGGTGGGGACGAGGACAGGCTTGGCCTGTCCATTCCTTCCTACAGCCCGTTCTAGCTCCCTCCTAGGCAGAGATGAGGCGCAGTTAGCGATTTGTATGTCTTTTCCGAGTTAAAGTTATATTAACATACCAATTACATAGGAGCACAGTTAATCCTTTTTTTTTTTTTTTAAATGTTTTATTTATTTCTAGGAGAGAGAGACAGCGTGAGCAGGGGAGGGTCAGAGAGAGAGGGAGTCACAGACTGAAACAGGCTCCAGGCTCCGAGCTGGCAGTCAGCACAGAGCCTGACGCGGGGCTCGAACCCACAAACAGCGAGATCATGACCTCAGCGAAAGTCGGAAAGTCGGATGCTTAACCGACTAAGCCACCCAGGCGCCCCAGGAGCACAGTTATTCTAATGCAAGTTTTTCTCTGAATATATATATGTTTACTTATTAAAAAAAATTTTTAAGTGTATTTATTTTGAGAGAGAGAGTGTGTGCCAGCGCGATCGCAAATGGGAGGGGCAGAGAGAGATGGAGGGAGAGAATCCCAAGCAGGTGACACAGGGTTCAGTCTTTTCTTTTAATTTTTCTTAATGTTTATCTTGAGAGAGAGAGAGAGAGCACTGGTAGGGGAGGGGCAGACAGAGAGGGGGACACAGAATCCGAAGCAGGATCCAGGCTATGAGCCATTAGCACAGAGCCCAACGTGGGGCCCAAACTCCCGAACCATGAGATCATGACCTAGGCTGAAGTTGGACACTTAACCAACTGAGCCACCCAGGCGCCCCAGGGTTCAGTCTTACGAGCTGTGGGATCATGACCTGAGCCAAAATCAGGAGTTGGACGCTTAACCCACTGAGCCACCCAGGCACACCTAAGATTTTATTTTTAAGGGGCACCTGGGTGGCTCAGTCGGTTAAGCAACCTACTCTTGATTTCTGCTCAGGTCATGATCTCATGGTGAGTTTGAGCCCTGTGTCAGACTCTGCACTGACAGTGCTGAACCTGCTTGGGATTCTCCATCTCCCTACCCCTCCCCCCACCCCCGCTTGCGCTCACACATGCGCTCTCTCTCTCTAAAATAAACATGTTTAAAATTTTTTAAATAAAATAAGATTTTACTTTTAAGTAATCTGTACACCATATGTGGGGCTCAAACTCACAACCTCAAGATCAAGAGTCATATGCTCCACTGACGGAACCAGCCAAGCCTTCCACATAATATTTTAAAAATTTTTTAATGTTTTATTTATTTCTGAGAGAGACAGAGAGACAGACAGCGTAAACAGGGGAGGGTCAGAGAAAGAGGAAGACACAGAATCTGAAGCAGGCTCCAGGCTCTGAGCTCGCGGTCAGCACAGAGCCTGACATGGGGCTCAAACCCACGAACTGTGAGATCATGACCTGAGCCGAAGTTAGACGCTTAACTGACTGAGCCACCCAGGCACCCCTCCACATAATATTTTAAATAGATGCATAAATGATATTGTATGAGTGTGCCATGATTTATATAACTAGCCCCCAAATAGACCGAATACATTGGATTCCTTTTTTTTTGTTCTTTTACTTTTTTTTACATTTATTTATTTTTGAGAGACAGAGAGAGACAGAGCACAAGTGAGAGAGGAGCAGAAAGAGAATGAGACAGAATCCAAAGCAGGCTCCAGGCTCTGAGCTGTCAGCACAGAGCCCGACGAAGGGCTCGAACTCACAAACCAGGAGATCGTGACCTGAGCTGAAGTTGGATGCTTAACTGACTGAGCCACCCAGACGCCCCTAGATTGGGTTCCTTTTTTAGAAAAGTGTTTTAAATAGCAATATGATGAACATCTCTGTGTTCTTGCCAGAGAATTTCCTAAAGTGCTATTCTCACCCATGGGTTTGTCCGTGTAAACCAGACACCTCAACCGAGATCACCCTGCTCTTAAGACCGACAGACAGACCGACAGAGATTGCCTCAAATACCACACATGGATGTGGGGGCTCAATATCGGAGAGCTTATGTTCTCACAGCCACTGTCAGCTCCAGATTCCTGCTTGGCTCTAACTGTTAGAGGTGTGACCCGACCCAGGGTATCCTGCTCTGGTCCTGCAGCGTGTCTATCCCCAAATGGAACTTGGCCTTCATTTCAATCCTGATAAAAAACAAAACATGCTTTACCCCAAATTTGGCCAACCCAGGAATCTACTTCACTGTAATGCAAATGACTTACAGTTAAATATTAGACAACTACGTCCCTTCAACAAGTTCTTGGAGACCCCTGGGTGGCTCAGTCGGTTGAGTGCGTCTAACTCTTGACTTCAGCTCAGGTCATGATCTCAGGGTGGGGAGACTGAGCTCCATGTTGGGCTCTGTGCTCTGTGTGGAGCCTGCTTAAGATTCTCTCTCTCCCTCTCTCTCTCTCTCTCTTGCTCTCTCTGCCCCTCCCCCTCTAAAAAATAAAATTAATCAAACAAGTCCATGGCCAGTTCTACAATTCAGATCCAACATCAGTCCCAAGACCAACCCCCCACCCCCTCTTCCTTTCCCACCCCCACCTCTGATTCTTCACCTCCACTCTTCCTCCACTGCCACCCTCCCTTCCCCCATCTGCTCCAGGAATGTTCTAGAATTCCTAACTAGGCTCCTTCAGCTCTGCTCTTTGGTTACTCCCAAGCTCCACTCCAGGCCCTTTGTGCATAACCCAAAGCCCAGCACCAGAACACCCTAGCGAACAAGAGCCAATGAATCCATTGAGGGCTCCAAGACCCAGAGGTTTCCTTAGCAGGATTAACTCTCTCTCATTGCCCTTGTGGTTTTAAAGAGCAATTACTTTTTTTTTTTTTTTTATGACACACATACTATGTTTTGTTACAGATTGACAAACCATTCTAAAAGGCTATCCCAGGGGCACCTGGGTGGCTCAGCCAGTTAAGCGTGGAGCCTGCTTAGGACTCTCTCTCTCTCTCTCTCTCTCTCTCTCTCTCTGCCCTCCTCCCCCACTCACGCGTGCATGTTTTCTCTTTCTCTCTAATATAAACATTAAAAAATTTAAATTACAATAGGAGGCTGTTCCAGTGTATACAGTTCAGGGCTTGAGTGAGCCCCTCTCTGTAGGTACAGCCCTGCACAGCATGTGTGCTCAGCCGAGGGTACAGAGGGAAGGCCAAGGTCAACTGTACACCACAACCTGCCCTGTGGGTGTCTCATCCCCCCACCAACACTGCCTGCTCTCCCCAGGGTTCTGGGTGCTGACGCCTAAGACGAAGCAGACGGCACCCCTCACCATCGCTGCTGCCCGAGGCTATACTGCCTGTGCCCGCCATCTGATCCGGCAGGGAGCTGAGCTGGACGCGCGGGTTGGAGGCCAGGCAGCCTTGCATGAGGCCTGTGCCCGGGCCCGGTCTGACTGTGTGCAGCTGCTGCTGACCTTCGGTGCCAAGGCCAACGTGTTGTCCGAGGAGGGCACAACCCCCTTGCACCTCTGCACAGCCCCTGAGTCCTTGCAGTAGGTGCCCAGGGGAAGGTGTGTGTGTGTGTGTGTGTGTGTGTGTGTATGTGTGTGTGTCCAGCTCACATGGCCAGAGGGGGAAAAATACCTCAATAGACACATGTCCTCACAGCAACCCTGGGAGACAGGTCTCATTCTACAGGGGAGAAAACTGAGGCTCAAAAAGGTTTAGTGACGTGTCCAACGTCATGTGAGCTAAGCTCAGGGGACAGAAGCCTTGTTGCTTTTTTGCAAGACCTATTCCAACCACGGTCTCTTCTCTGTGAATCCTCTGTAGCCAAATTCCTACCTGTTTTAAGGGAGGCATCGAGAAAGGTGTGGCCCAATGTTTCCCAACAAGCTCCCCCCCCCGACACCTCCTCCTCCCAAATTTTAAGATCAACAAGTTTTTCGGGGCGTCGAGGGCTGCGGAACATGGGTGAAGGGGAGTGGGAGATACAGGTTTCCAGTTACAGAATGAAGAAGGCACGGGAGTAAAAGGCACAGCATACGGGATATAGTCAATGATATTGTCATAGCCATGTAACAGGACAGATGGCAGCTACACTTGTGCACATAGAATAATGTATAAACTTGTCAAATCACTAAGTTGTACACTTGAGATTAATGTAACATTGTGTGTCAACTCTACTTAAAAAAAAAAAAACTTAAAAAAAAGATTAAGGTTTTTGCCCCCCCCACACACACACACAATGGTGTTTGTACTTTTCCAAATCGGGTCCCCAGCCAGGGCTGGCAGTTGTAAGAAGTCAAGGGCTCCTGGAAGACACTCTACGGCCCACGTGCTGGGAATCTCTCCCAAGCTGGATCTAGATCCATGATGGACACTTTCCAACCCACTTTATCCTTTTAAGTGAAACTTACTGAAACCCTGCTGAGTGAGCTCTTATTTTATTTTTTAATTTTTAATTAAAAAATTTTTTTAATGTTTATTCTTTTTTTTTTTATGAGAGACAGAGTGTAAGCGGGGGAGGGGCACAGAGAGAGGGAGACAGAATCCGAAGCAGGCTCCAGGCTGTCAGTACAGAGCTGGACGCGGGGCTCGAACCCAAGAACCGTGAGATTATGACCTGAGCCAAAGTCGAACGCTTAACTGACTGAGCCACCTGGGCGCCTCAAGTGTTTTTTGAATGTAGTGTTTAGAGACAAAAATTAGCCCGTGATTAGAACTCACTGAGAAAATAGCTGTTTAGGGATGACTGGCTGCTATTCAATTCTTGGCCGCTGAGCACAGAGGCTCCTGCATCTGTGAACTGAGTGGGGCGGGAATACTGGCCGTTTGGGGGAGGGACACTGACACCTGGTCATCAGGGTTTTGTCAGCGGTCCCGATCTGCCCCTGGGCTTCCAGGGGCTGCCATTCTGCCTTCTTAATTATAAATCACTGTTCGTTTAATTGCATCATTAGTGGCATTTGTTTCTGTTTGGTGTACCCCGTGGTGGCTAATGATGCGTGCTTGCCTCAACAGTGTCCTGGCTGAAAATTTTTCCAGGGACTGGAAGACTGTGAAACACCTGCTCCCTAAAATCCGGTGTTTGTCGTTTTCTCTAGGGGAAAGGGGAGCGGCGGGTCCCCAGGTGCCTTCTTTTGCTTGAGTGGGTATCACTGGTCCCTGGTCTTCCAGTTGGGAGGCATGAAGAAAATATTAGGACTTCAATTTCTTTCTCATTCTGGCTCATACTCTTTAATCTTCTAGGCGTAACATTCATTGTGGAGCCAGTAGTGGGTTGTCAAGATATTTTGTGCTCTCAAAATGTCAGGAGACCACTGGCAAGGGATTCAGATCTCGGCCTTGGGGGGTCCCAGTCCGCTTGGGCAGTCAGGTTTCAGAAACAGAAACCAACCCATGATTAGAATTTACTGAGGAAATAAACAGACTCTGGGAGGTACTGTCTGGAACACTGAGTTCTCTTTCTGATGCAGCCTCTAACTTGCTCTGTGTCCTTGGCTATACTGAGACCTTTCTCGGCTGAGGTTTCATCTGCAAACTGAAGATGTTCCTGGTGACACCCATAGGCCTTGACGCTCTGGCCATCTGTCCTGGGGCTTCTGCGAGTCTGGTGTTGCTTGTCACGCTGGCCTCTAGCCTCTAGGCGAGCGGTATGGGAAGAAAGGGGGACGGGGACGCCCGCAGGCCAGGCCTCGGTCCCTCAGCATTGGCCTCTGGGCCTTGTGCCTTGCCCCCAGGTGCGCCAAGCTGCTGCTGGAGGCGGGAGCGACTGTGAACTTGGCGGCGCGGGACAGCGAGATGACACCCCTGCACGTGGCGGCGGCTCGCGGCCTGGAGGAGCACGTGGCCCTCTACCTGGCGCACGGGGCCAACGTGCACCTGCGCACCAGCCAGGGCGAGACGGCCCTGAACGCCGCGTGCGCGGGGGCCGAGGGCCCAGGCAGCTGCCGGCATCACCAGGCGGCAGCGCGCCGGCTCCTGGCGGCCGGAGCGGACGCCAGCGCCGCCGGCCGCAAGCGCCACACGCCGCTGCACAACGCCTGCGCCAATGGCTGCGGGGCCCTGGCCGAGCTGCTGCTGCGCCATGGGGCCTGCGCGGGAGTGCCCAACGGGGCGGGCCACACGCCCATGGACTGCGCGCTGCAGGCCGTCCAGGACGACCCCAGCTGGGAGCCCGAGGTCCTCTTCGCCACGCTGCTGGACTATGGGGCCCAGCCAGTGCGCCCTGAGGTGCGCAAGGAAGACCTTTGCAAGGAGGCCCCGGTTGGGTGGGGAGCTCATGGCTGGAATTTCCCTGCCGTCTGGGGAGAGGGGTGCCAAGAGAGTGAGAGCCCGGCTCTGTGGCCGGCTGTCCCCACCTTGGAAAGGACCACTGAGGGCAAATGGGGAGTGTGTCTAAGGAGAAAAGAGCTTCCAGGGAAACTCATCGGGGCCAAGAAGTTGCAGCCCACTTGAAGGTGGGGTAAACTGAGGCATGCGAAAGCGTGAGGAGGGACTCAGACCTTAGTCTCCCAAATTTGGGTGTGAGTGGGGCTTTGACTTAGGCTGGACTTGGGTCTGCCCTTGGTTGGGAGAGTCACGGCGACCCTAAGCCCCTCTTTTGGTTCTTAGATGCTAAAACTCTGTGCCAACTTCCCTCGGGCCTTGGAAGTCCTGCTTAATGCCTATCCTTGTGTGCCGTCCTGTGATACCTGGGTGGAGGCAGTGCTCCCAGAGCTGTGGCAGGTATGTATGTCCACCCCAGAGGCGCAGCTCCTACTGGGCTCTGGGGGAGATGGAGAGGAAGGTTGAGCCCCAGGCCTTATCCGTCCAGGATGGACTTTCCCAGGGCCCCCCCCCCACCAAGAGCATCTCAGGACAACCTCTAATCCCACACACCTCTCCTGCCTCTCTCACTTGTGCCAGCATGGGCGTTTCTCAGCGGGCTGGGTCGGCATCTTTGGAGTTGGGGGGGTGGGTACAGCTGTGGCTGAGATCCTGCCCTGCAGCGCGGTCCCATCTCCCGTGACCACGGCCGGGCCTCTGGGCTCTGAATCTGAGTCTTTCAAGATGCGCCAAATGCCTAGAGGGGGTGCATGTTGCAAATGCCCTGGGGCCCCCAGCGCCTGGTTATCCTCAGAGGTCAGAGTCAAGGGTATTGGGCCATCTGATCCCGTTCCACTCCTGGCCTAGGAGCACGAAGCCTTCTACACCTCGGCCCTGTGCATGGTGAACCAGCCCAGGCGGCTGCAGCACCTGGCCCGCCTGGCGGTGCGTGTCCAGCTGGGGAGCCGCTGCCGCCAGGCCGCCGCCAGCCTCCCGCTGCCCCCCGTCCTCAGGGACTACCTGCTGCTGCGTGTGGAGGGGCGCATCCAGTGAGCCCCAGGCAGCGTGCTCTCGGAGTTTGTTCTGCCACCGCCATCTGTCATCTCCCTGCAGCCCTGGAGGACCGGTCCTCTGGTCCACACTCCACGTGTGCCCCCCCTGGTCAGCTCATCCCTCCGCTGGCTTCCTGAGCTGCTTGCCGACCTCCACCCCCACCTGAGCCTCAGCCTTCACCTACTGCCGTCTCCTTTGCATAGTGGAAGGCCCCTCCATCCACCCAGCCCCCACTCCAGGGGGTGGGGGGGCGTGATCCTTGTTGTCCCCCCTCCCCTGCCAGCCATGTACTTGTTTGGCCTCTTCAAGAGTGACAGACTCAGCCTGCACCTGCGCCACCTCTGCCCAAACTGCCTTTGCTGCTTAAAGGGAAGACCTCACGGGCTGGTCTCGAAACCCATGGCCTGCAAGGATGCCGGGACTCCCTTTGGGAATCACAGCTCTGATCATGTCTTTCAGGGGCTCCTCACTAACTTCAGGCTAAAATCCAAATTCAGTAAGGCCGATACATCTTCTACGGCTGCCTCCCCCCTCCCTCCTCCCCTTCTGATCCCCCTCCTCCCTCGGAGGTTCCTGGGACCAGGCCTCAGCCTTGCTGGTTGCTGGCTAAGCCCCAGTCTGCTTTGCTTCCAGGCACCTGCATGCGCCGTTCCCTCTGCCTGGTATGCCCTTCCCACATTTTTTGCCCTGGTCGAAGCCGAGGACAGAATAGCACTATCAGTCCAATAGCACCATCTCCTCAGGGCCCTCCTTGGATTGCACTTTTTGAATAAGAGCCTGTGCCTGCATCGGCCTGGCTGAGGCTGGGACTATATTCCTTGAACAGACGTTTCAGCAAATGGTTGTTGAGGAAGGAAAAAATGCATGATGCCTGGGACCCATTTACGGTCATGCCCCCCTGTGCCCCCACCAGCGACGCACGGTGTCTTAACCAATGGTCACTACTACACTTGTGGTCTCTAAGGGCCTGTGACAGGAGGACAAGCCCCCAGCTGTCCCCCCTTCTCACTTCCTCTTCTGGCCCCAGAGTTCACAGCACCATCATTCATCTTTAAGAGGAAGCTTTTGAGCCAAACCAGGTTTTATGAATGCAAATAAATGATTTGTGCAGCCGAATCAAAGCGTGGATGTGTGAGGCCGAAATGCGGCTGAGAAACGGAGCGCTTTGGCGGCTCAGTCGGTTGAGCCTCCGACTTCGGCCCAGGTCATGATCTCACAGTTCGTGGGTTCCAGCCCCGCATGGTGCTCTGTGCTGATGGCTCAGAGCCCGGAGCCTGCTGCGGATTCTGTGTCTCCTTCTCTCTCTGCCCCTCCCCCGCTCACACGCTGTCTCTCTCTTTCAAAAATAAACATTAAAAAAAAAAAGGAAATTTAAAAAAGACCCCTCACTCTGTGCCTCTCACCCACCTTTGTGCTATTGTGTGGTTGCCGAGTTTTCTGCACGGAGCAACTGTGACTGTTGTGGTAGGAAAAGGGTGTAAGAGCAACAGAAGGGCTCCTGCCAGACCCCGAGCCTGTCGCACCCACTGCAGGCGAGTCCTTTTGCCGAGGGACCCTGGACTGTCCACTGCCATTAGCACTTGGAGTCACAGTGTAGAAATGGGTCAGGAGTCCCAGGGGGCGGGGCAGCCCCCTGCCGCTGTCTCCCAGCCCACGCTCCGCCCGCGGAGAGTTGCAACTGAGGTCTTCCCTTCTGCCAACATGGTTTTGTTCCTTGTCATGCAGAGCAGCTACCTCTCCTTTCTGGAAGAAACTTTTGCTTTAATTTCGCAGACCCAAAGGGCCAGAGAGAAGAGAGGGAAATCCTCTCTAGTCCTGGGCCCATGCCGGGAGCCTCCCTCTCAGGACTGGATGCTGAGGTGTCCACCCCTTAACAGTAGGCGAACCCCAGTGAGCTCAGCCTCTCCTGTTCTACTGACCGCTGTGACAAAACACCCACTTAAAAAAAACCTAAAAGAGATATGAGATTATGTATATTATCTGGGGATAGGAGAAGATCTTCCGGGGTGAAAGCATAAAAGAGGAATAGATTGGATACAGGAAAAAAATGTTTTTAATTTGGTTATAAAAGCACCAAATCATAAGCAAAAGTAAAAGACAAAACGTTGGGGGGGCGCCCGGGGGGGCTCAGTCGGTTAAGCGTCCGACTCTGATTTCAGCTCAGGTCATGATCTCACAGTTCATGGGTTTGACCCTCCACTGGGCAGCATGGAGCCTGCTTGGGAGCCTCTCTCCCCCTCTCTCTCTGCCCCTCCCCCCTCAAAATAAATAAATAAACTGTTTTTAAAACGACAAAATACTGGGGGGGGGGGAACATCTGCAAATAAAAGACTTCATTTCCCTCATCTGTGAGGATGGGATCAATATCTGGGTTTGGTTTTTTTGTTTTGTTTTTAATGTTTATTTATTTTTGGGAGAGAGAGGGCGAACAGGGGAGGGGTAGAGAGACGGAGACACAGAATCCAAAGCAGGCTATGGGCTCTGAGCTGTCAACACAGAGCCCGACGTGGGGCCCGAACCCACCAACTTTGAGATCATGACCTGAGCTGAAGCTGGATGCTTAACCAACTGAGCCCCCAGGCACCCCAGGAACAGTATCTGTTTTATTCACCACTGGTGACTGGGTGCCTGTGCAGGGCTTTGCGGAGAGTAGACCCCCACATATCTGTTGAATCCATGAATGGTGATGCTCAACCTCAAATTGAAACAATAATAAGCTAATACTCGCTCACTAGGTTGAGGGAATTTGTAAAGACTGATAATATGCAGTACCTATGAAGACGTAAAATTTTACTCATCCTTTCAGTGGGAAGGGAAATTGCGTCTTTGGGGGGCAATTTAGCAGCACCCTTAAACACCGCTCCCCAGTTACACAAAAGGCTGGTCCACACGGGAACGTTCACCCCGGCGTTGGCTGCAAGGAGGACACAGTGAAATGGGAAGCAGTAAACACATCTGTACTCCGGCGAACAACGCAGCCCGTACAAAGCGTAGTCCCTCCGGCAGGAGAGAACTGGGGAGGGCTTCTAAGTGACCAGCACAGGTATCACCTTGGAAGGGCTTCCCAAGACTGCTGTTAAAGAGAAAAAAGTAGGTTGGAATACAACACAGATGGCAAACAATCAAATCCAGGCCCCATGATTGTAGACGAAGAGAAAAAGGCCCAGAGGCAGGTGCCCAAGAATTCTCCTCTGGGGAGGGGAGAAGGACTGTGACAGTTGGGCGTTTTATGGTCTGTATTTGAGGGGCACCTGGGTGGCTCAGTCGGTTAAGTGTCCAACTTCCGCCCAGGCCATGATCTGACTGTTCGTGAGTTCGAGCCCCACGTGAAGCTCTGTGCTGACAGCTCAGAGCTTGGAGACTGTTTCGAATTCTGTGTCTCCCTCTCTTTCTGCCTCTCCCCTGTTTTCTCTCTCTTTCTCTCTCTCAAAAATAAATGAACATTTAAAAAGAAAGAAAAAAACATATGGTCCATATTTGAAATTTTTTTAAAAATGTCGTCGTTGTTCCTGTTGAAGTAGGCTTCATGCCCACCGTGGGGCTTGAACTCATGGCCCTGAGATCAAGAGTGGTGTGCTATATGACTGAGCCAGCCAGGCACTGTGCCACTACGTGGGGTTTTTTTTTTTTTAAGTTTTATTCTCATATTCGAATGTTTTACAAAGAGATACCTCATGGATTCTTGTGACTGAAGAAATATGAAAAACGGAAAACTCACTAATGAAGGAAATCCAATGAAGGAAATCAAAAGAATAGAGACACCTCTATCAGACAGGCAAACATGGGATGAATGACATATAGTGGTTAGGGAAGGAGCACTTTTAGTAAAACAGACTTACTATACACATTCCTGGGTTTACAGGTGTATTTACCATTCTATAACCACGTTAATTGTACATAAAGGTATAAAAAGTTCCAGGGGTGCCTGGGGGCTCAGTCCCAGTTAAGAGTCTGATTTTTGTTTGTTTATTTATTTTTGAGAGAGACAGAGAAAGAAAGAAAGAGAGAGAGAGAGTGCGCACAAGCAGGGGAGGGGCAGAGAGAGAGAGGGAGAAACAGATTTTAATTAAAAAAAATTTTTTTTGAATTTATTTCTGAGAGAGAGAGACAGAGACAGTGTGAGCAGGGGAGGGTCAGAGAGAGAGGGAGACACAGAATCTGAAGCAAGCTCCAGGCTCTGAGCTGTCAGCACAGAGCCCGACGCGGGGCTTGAACCCATGAACTGTGAGATCATGACCTGAGCCGAAGTCGGACACTTAACCGACTGAGCCACCCAGGCGCCCCTAAGCGTCTGACTTTTGATCTCAGTTCAGGTCTTGAGCTCAGGGTCATGAGTTAGGGCCCCACTTTGGGCAAAAAAATAAAATAATACATAAATCTACATTCCATAGTTTAAGAAAAGCAAACATCTCATGAACTATATCATGAAAAATGCCCAAGGAGTTAAGATCCATTAAAATACCCTGTTAACTTCTTCTTCTTCTTCTTCTTCTTCTTATATTCAAAAGAGGCCTGCTTTGGGTGCTGATAGAGTCCCAACTGCAGACTTCGTTCTTTCCTTGCTTTTCCTCTCGTAATTCCTCCACCCTCAAACACCCAATCCTGAAAGCTCTTTTCTTTTTTTTTTTTCAAAAAATTTTTAATGTTTATTTTTGAGAGAGAGAGAGAGAGAGACAGAGTGTGAACAGGGGAGGGGCAGAGAGAGGGAGATACAGAAGCCGAAACAGGCTCCAGGCTCTGAGCTGTCAGCACAGAGCCCGACGTGGGCTTGAACCCACCAACCATGAGATCGTGACCTGAGCCTAAGTTGGATGCTTAACCGACTGAGCCCCCCAGGCGCCCCTGCAGATCCCTTTCAGAATACTCCTAACTGCTTCTTGTCCTTCGCTCTACACATTCATAAAATACATCTTTTGCCAGACTCAACCTTCCTGGTTTCTTTTTTTTCTCTTAAAAAAAAAATGTTTAGGGGCACCTCGGTGGCTCCGTGGGTTAAGCGT